ATGTTAAATATTCATATGTATCATATGACGAATGTTATGCTTTTTTGCACCTCTCATACTTTCACAGAACTATAAGCAAAGTGGTACTGCTAAAAGTTAAGGTACTCGAATATAATAGTTCTCTGTATCCTACTTGTACAGCATTAGTGAAAATTTATCTGTGATCTTGTCATGGATACAGCAAGTGTGAGAAAATAAGAGCTGAAGAACCACAGCAGAGGAATGTAACCTGACAACTGTGTCTTTATCATTGTGTCCCCGACAGTGATTGTCAGGAACTAGACATCTTCACTCTGGTGGTGTGTGTGAGAGAGAGATTGTGTGCGTGTATGTTTATCTATTCTTTGTGGCTGTGTTTAGATGTGAAACACTGAGACAGAGGGGGTTGTCTGTGTTTGGACTGGGGGTCATCTCTATTTTGACAGCAGGCTTTGACAGCCAGTAATTGGTTTCCTTTTCCATGCCTCTCAGAGCTGCTGCAGAAAAAGGCAATTTTAGGAGCCAATCAATTCAAATTCCAGCTCACTCACAATAGAAAAGCCTGTGCAGCTTTAACCTCGCTCACTGTCCATGAGATAGCTGGGCTGATAATCTCCTCCTCTAGCCTCTCCAGCCCAGCCCTAGCTTGCACACACACTGCTCCTGTCTATCTGTCACCCATCGGGGGTAGCTCTCAATTCTGCTTTCTTCTGAAAGCAATTGAGTGTGATAATAGAAGTTTATACTGTAAGTGGTTGGAGTGCATAGTTACCGCAAGACTGAATCATCCTGGAAACACCATGCATCTTTGCCCATGTGTATCGTTTTCTCATGCACATAAACATATCTGCTCACATACACACTATAATACCTACACTACACTAATCATCACATACATACCTACAATCACACTTGCATAAACAGTCATGCAGACACACAAGTGAGTACACAGGTACAACCACACTCATGCCACACGCACACAAAGGTTTGTTTGCCTGCTGGCTTCACCTCTGATAGGAGGAAACACATCATTTAACCAAACTGGTCAACTGAGAACTAATTTCTCTTTTGTAGTTACTGCCTGAGGACTTTAGGGTTTGTGGAGTTTATATTGACAATCAGCAGCACACTGACTCTTGGTGCAGAAACTCCTTAACAACTTAGTTTGGATTTTGATCTGAACACTGACTTTGATACCTCAGTACTCTGCTGTTTAGCACAGGGAGGACTTTCCCCACTGCAGTCTGGGCCCAGTATTTATCTACAGCACATACTGCCATTATATAATCTCTGGGCATCTTGACAGTAAGATAGCATGTCATCAACCAACAGAGTTTTATTCATTGCTTTTACAGCAGTGCGCATTCGCCGTATTGTACATCTCAGTTGTTTTAGAGGGTTCCTGAAAAGTGATGCTTTATGAACCCATTTCCATTGTTTATTTGGCAGGAAAAGTATATATCCTTGTGAAACATTGCTGTATTTTAAATACTTGCTGTAATTGACAGTGAGGTTATCAGGCACATTACTTAGGCACATTGCCCAGCTTAATCTCCATTTCATTTTTTTCCTCATTAAATCTTGCACTCACTCTCTCGCTGTGCACACCACCACGCCAACTTTCCATCACCTCCAACTCCCCAACCAAAAAAAATAAAATAAAATGTAAGCCACCATGGTGACAAGGGGGCAAGTGCATAATACCCTGGTTTCAAGGATCCAGCCTCAGGGTGTTAAGTTAGAGCAAATCCCTGCACAACCCAATCTCTGCTGTCCATCTGCTGCCGGCCTTATGTGTCTAAAGTTGAAAGTCTTTGGCAAGCAGTTGGCAAAGTGACTTGGCTGTACTGTCATGGTGATTGTTTGGTGGTTGAATGATGGGGTGGGAGTGGGGGACTGGCTATCTTTCTCTTTCTTTATTTCTTTAGTTCTGTCCGTCTGTCTCTCTCCCTGCCTATTTGTCGCTGTGGCAGGAGGGACCCGGCCGTAGAAGCAGAGGGAGTATTAGCTCCCAGGCTGGCTCCTGTCAGCGATTCGATAGCTGTCACACTAACACCCCAACCGCTATCACTGGAGCACTTATGGGCCTGTCACTCACCTGGGAGAGAGGGAGCAAAGAAGGGAGGGAGGCGTCACAGGGGAAGCATGTGCCGAGGGAGATATGTAGAGGAGAGGGGAGACAGTGGAGACGGAGGCGGAGCTCAGGATGCAGAGAGGAAAAAGATGAAGACAGAAGGAAAAGGGGAAAGATAAAAGAGAAGGAGTAGGGAGGGATGAGTTGGAATGCTAAAAGAGAGAGGGGAACAAGTAGAGTGGCATTATAAATGAGGAGGTTATTGTGACATGCCAGATGAAAATATAAGAACCTGACTGGAGTTCCAAACATCACAAGTGTTTAGCGTCCAACTCTCGTCCAGCAGGATGTGCTTTGATGCGCTTGACGACAGATCAAGGACCATTTGGACATTATAAAGAAACATCAATTCACCATCCAGTAATTATAGGCTGGGGCTAAACAGCATGGTGTAATTTTTAGAAGGGAGAGAAAAAAAAACACATTGATAGCTGCAGCCGTTGTTCCATCTGTGAGAGGCCTCATAGATGAGCACTAACACACACAGTTGCACACAAAACATCATAAATGTATTTGATTTGAAAGGCATAGATATTCCCTAACGCACTAAAGTGGGCACACTTACATCCATATTCACAGCCCAAACTTTGGAGGGTCAGCATTAAGTAACTTAAGTTTTGGCCCATTTGGCCGTGTTATCTCACATAATGCAAATACAAGGACTTGCATTTTTTCACAGATCACTCTCACACAAATTTTCAAAGTGTAAAAGTCACAGCCAAATGTAAAAAAAGCATGAGCCCTGCACACACATACACACACATGCACACATAATAAGGTCAGTATCAGGGCATGACTGAATCACAGTGACCAGCATCATGGTTGAGAGAGCAGGGTACAGACACATTCCAGTTTGGCCCTTCAACTCACTGCAGACCACTGAAGTGAAACTCTATTACAACAGCCTCTCCAGCCGCGATCCATCAACACAACATCCTGTGTGTACGCGCCAGTGCATGTGTTTACAAAGACAGATGTGTTAATGTGGTGTTTTGTGAAGTACAAGATTCCTGAAAGTGTTGCTGTTTATGTGACAATTCTTTTATCTAACACCTGTTTATCTGCAAAACATATGACAGCAGTTGTTGCTGCATTTAGGCAGTAATGGGTCATGTGGGTGAGGAAAATGTACCAGTTCTCCCATCAGATTTAATCCCATCAACACCTCTGCAGGGTGAAGCGTGGCTTGCATGTTTTATCAAGAATGTCACAGTCATTCAGCCATGGGCAGATGTTGGAGTGAGAAATCTAGAAAATCATGTCAGACAGTGTTGTTAACCTCACACAAGCATGTGCACACATACACACACAGGCACAATGTATGCTCAGGAAAAATCTAAGATGCATTAACATGAAGTGAAAAGAACCGTATGTTAGTGTGCTTTAATGAACATGTCAGAAAATCACAGGTTAATTTTGCTGACTGCAAACCATGTCACAGCACTTTGTGCCCGGTACACCATGGACGGCCCTCTCTTTAGTTTTTACAATGGCATTTGAAGAAGGCAGCAACACATAATCACACACTTAACAGAACCAAGTTTTAAGAGGTTAGAATTTTCTTTTGTTGTTGATCACATCAGTGAGCAGTAAGCCCAGTCAGTAAAATTCTCCCTTTCACCGTTTTCATCTTTCTAAATTTATCTGTTCAATCTTTCTAGTTGACTAAATACTTTACATGGTGTGTGTAACAATGTTACATGAATATATATATAGTGGTATATTTATTGTTGGTGAGGCTAAAGTTTTTTTTCCCGTGTATTTGCTAATTAATCCTGAAAGTGTGTGTATATTTGCCAAGTAAACAACACCCAAAATAGTTGAGGAACACAATCATGATGAGAGGTGAACCTGAGGGAAAGAAGCTGAATGTACCGCAAAAATCTACAACGAAGTTAACGTTCTTCCAGAAGTAAAATCCTTTTCCTCTCTTTTCTGTCTAGGCTACAGACAAAGATGCAGGCACATTTGGGATTGTGCAATACTACTTCAGTGACGACCCAGATCAGTAAGATAAAGCTACACACACACACACACACACACACACACACACACACACACACACTGAAAATGTCCACACAAACACACAACCACATTAATGTTTCATTTATTTGGCTGCTTGTGAAACATTATAGCACACTGCTTCAGCCACACGGCCTGGCCAGAGACAGCTGAGCTACGACAACGTCTGGCACATTTTTTTACATCTTTTCTCTTCGGGCCACAAATACATAGAATCACACACAAAGAAAACACACATTCATATAATCCATTCATTCATTATCTTCAGTGTATTAAAAAAAAGCTTCCTACTTTTTATTTGTTGTTCTGTTAGCAGTACTGAGCACCATTTCTATGTATTTTTGTTCTCTTTAATTTGTCATTTGTTGCAGTGTTTGGAAAATGCCTATCCATATTTCTTCTTTCTTCTTTTTGCAAGATCTTTCTTGTTAAAACAGTTTACTTTCATGTTAGATTTTTATTTCTATATACAAACCTCTTTTGTTTGAAGAAGCTTTTCTTATAAGAGCAAATCAGTAAGTGCAACTGTTTTTATTTTCACTTAACTAGAAAATTCTGAACAATATGAGGCATTGTAATCTGCTTGTTCACTATGGCTATAAGAAACCATTAAATGTTATTACCAGATTAAAATTGTACAAGAAAGGCAACAGTAGAAATGTTTTTTCTTTTACATGTTAAAATGTTTTAACATAACTTGTGTTGTTGAACATGGGACATTTAAAATGGTAGTTTGCTGTAATGACATAAATAACATGACATACAAGTAAAACTTGGTGTAATTAGACAAAGACAATAACTCATAATAATCCTGATGAGGGTTTTTGGGGACGCTTTTTACAGATACCTGCCTCTAATTTCATTTGTTGTTCTCTCGCAGGTTTTCAGTAAATGAAGATACAGGCTTGGTCACTCTGCGGGCCAGTCTGGACTATGAGTTGATGCAGCGCTTCACACTGACCGTGCTGGCAAGAGACGGTGGCGGGGAAGTGACGACGGGGAGAGTGCGTGTCAATGTGCTGGATGTCAATGACAATGCACCGCTCTTTCAGAAGGAGGCGTATGTGGGCTCACTGAGAGAGAATGAACAGGCTGTCCAGGCAGTGGCACGAGTCAGGGTGAGCTGTGTTTAAAATATATATTTGTGTTTAAAAGCAGACATATGAGGCCAAGAGTATTCTCTAGTACCAAGACACTATCGTAAAACTGTCCTGTTTATAGCTGCTGTAAAATGCCCTATAAATGTCCACTTGTGACCTTCAGTGATTTTAAATAATATGTTAAACCAAAATCAACACACAGCAACTGCTAGGCTGCCATAAATGAACTACTAGATGAAAAAAAATATTTACTGTTGGTTTCATTTAAAATTTGTCCTCTTACACATTTGAACGCTGCATTATACTCACATGGACAGTACATTCACAGGAAACGTCCACCTGCAACAGAGGATCTCATCTGGATTCAAATGCCACCAGTTATCAGACTCACAAGTCTTTGGTTTTACTGCTCTGCTTCTCTTCCCTCCTTGTTTCCTCTGTGTTACTATAATCATGCTGTTATGTGTTTCTGTGCACTGTATCCAAGAAGAACAGGTTGGCCTGTTGTGCCAGCCATCAGTCACTGCCACACAAAAGGCAGAGGTACACAGGCACAATGGCAACTAATGGCTCAGCATTTCCTTTGATTGCACCCTGGAGGGGAAGACTATTACATCCCTTGTGGCAGTGGGTTTGTGGTGCCTTGCTTTTACATTGCGGGGATTGAGCCGATGACTGGGCTCAACGCTTGGCTCGCTGTGTTTGATTAGTCTGCGCTAACCTTAAACGCTGCTGATATTAATACACCGCCCAAGAGGAACAGAGAACCCAGTCTCATGATTCTGTCTCAGCAGTTTGCCCTGAAACCTGCTATAAACATCCACACAAACATACACTACTCTGGAAAATAGGCAGAGACGGAGGAGAGAGGAAAACGACTGAAATAGATGGGAGAGATGTGTTGAGAGATGAGGCAAAGAGAGGTGTTTCTGCAGTTTGCTCTTTCTTTTTCCAAACATTTCCTGGGAGGTTTGTGCCTCCTACTACGGTGCTTATGCTTGCTAACAGTTAAACCTTTTTTTATTTTCTCTACACCTTTTATCCCCTCATTTCCTATGCTACTCATATTTGATATGCTGCCCCTTACTTCTCTTACCTTTGAGTGGTGAACAGTCATCTAATATAAAACTATTTGTTGAAATTTGATATAGGGAGACAGTCTGGAAGAGAAAGCCAGCTTAGGAAGTTGTGGGGGAAGAAAGGTACTGCTTACTCGACATTTTGGCATTAAATCAAACAGCAGAGATGTGTGTGTTATGGAGAGATAGGAGTGTTTTTGACAACCTGTCCAGCCTCTTAATAATGCCAGGGAGGCCCATTAGACTCTCCTCACAGCCGGAGGACTCCTTTTTAAGTTTCTGCCAACTTGAGAATAATGAGGGGGTGTCATCATTGTTGTCGATGTTGTTGTGGATTAGCCCTGCAAAGTGTGGTTTCATATATCCTCCGCCTGCTTGGCGTGTCTTGGCTCAGTTGGTGTTCATCCAGTATTGACGCCTGCACCACTAATAGCCAGAATCGGCTTTAATTTGTCCAACAACATGCCGTCACTCATTGACAGCCGCCTGGCTGCACTCATATGCACTGGCTCACACGCACCCATGCTGTGCAAACATACACAGAAATATTAGAGGTGTCTACTACAGCATCTGTCCTGTTACCTTGTCTGTCTTCTTGTCTCACTCACTCAAAAGTTCTTCTCTCTGTGGACTTTTGACTGTCACTCAGACATGTGTTAAAGGCACTCCCATCCTCCTCTCTTCCACCCATGTCTGCTCACCCACAGGCTACAGATGAAGATTCTCCTCCCAACAACTTACTGACATACACCATCACTTCAGTCTCGGCCTTCCCCGATTACTTCAGGATCATCATGGTGGAAGGTTATGCAGGTATGATCACCTTTACAAGTACGAAGCCACTATTTGTTCTATGTTTTGGCATATCGGTTACAATGTGAGAGGATGCTGTGGATATTTAGGCAAGCAAAACTTGCATTTTAAGTTATAGAATAGTTGGTACAGTTTAGCTGTGTACACTATAATTGTTTATTATTTGTCCCACACTTTACTAAGCTAATGAGATGCACAGAGTACAAGAACCCAGCCTTCTCCCTCTCAATTTGTCTCTCCTTCCACCAGTTATCAATGTGATCAAGCCTCTGGACTATGAGCAGGTTCCCAAAGGGATGATCTACTTGACAATAATGGCCAAAGATGGGGGAAACCCAGCCCTCAACAGCACTGTCCCTGTCACAGTGGAGGTGATTGTAAGTACAAGCATGCAACGTACACACAAACACCTTAATACTTCACAAACTTTGTCTGGACTCACCACTGTTAGGATCTGTCACACCTAAAGGTGCAAGTAGCAGTGCCTCGTCCAGATGTGGCAGCTGTCAACAGCTGCAGTCACTGAGCAGTAACACCTTGCATGTACATTTATATATTTTTCATGAACATCTCTGCCATCAGCAGTGCACTTTCCACCAACCTATGGACATCACTCAGCAGTCTGCATTGACATTCAGGCCTGAGAGAACATTTCAAATAAACCTCAGCAGTCTGTATTGACATTCAGGCCTGAGAGAACATTTACTACAAACTGGTACAATGATCACATTTTATGACCAAGTCATGTAGAAAACCAGGTAATTCCAAATGGTTCATTTACTTTTTCTTGCCACTTACATACTGTATATTCGTGATTTTCCCACCTCTGTCATTCTTATCTTAGGAGTCAAATTTTATTACACTAGAAGTAGTCTTGATGTTAGCTTCTATAAGGCAGGGTGTTTTTCTGTTGCACAGTCAGTCCTACAATGCAATTGTTTGGAAAAAGAAATGGAATTCATCTAAAGGTGAGTCCCAGTTCCCTTCTTTTATCGTTCTTCAGTTCTTGATCCTCGCTCGACCCGAAAATCATTCCAGACTACCATGATGAAGAACATTTCAAAGCTCTTATTTCTTCTCTGAGGACCAAGGAACAAGGAGGCTGCCTGAGGGAGCTATAACCAAGGATACATGAGTGTGTCCTTCACAGAAGTCTGTTACAGACTCATGCCTCTTTATTGGAAATCAGTTCGTGACTGGACACTTCACATGAAGGATTTGAGAAAAAGATGTCGTCATTTGAAACATGTTTCCTTGGTTCCTCTCTCCTCGCCATTTCTCCTTGTATCTTTTCCTTGTCTCTTACATGAGCAGGACTAAGACACCAGGAAAATGCGCAAGTGATGAAAACCTGGATGCATTAGGGGAATTGGGAATCACCCAAGTCATTTGTAATGTAAATGTGGTACACATATAGTAATGCTGACTGTTCTGTCAGGTGTTATCCTTTAAATCTTTTAGTCTATTTCTTTGTCTTTCTGCTAACTTTTAAATAGTAAGATACTATAAATACAGCAGTAAAAATATAATGAGCACCCAGAACTCATAAACAGTATCTCTATGGGCTCTTAAGCTCATTTTCCCTGATAGAAATCCACTATACATATAACTTTTTAGTCATAAAAGCAGAAATGACAGAAGAATAAATGACTGTTTCTTTGATGTGCAAGTACAGTAGGTATATCCACACACAGTGCACATGAAGAAGAAATATTGTGCAAAACAATAAAGGAATCTATGTTGGAATGTAAGAACAAACAGGGAGAGATGAGTTCCCACTATCCACAGTATATGTCTCTCAGCCTCTCTCCATTCTCCACAGTGCTGTGACTCACACCACATGGGTTTATCAGTAGTTGGCAGCATCACACACATACAATGCTTTGCACCAGTGTAACAAAGAGTCCAGATAGATAATGATGCCAGTGACTGTTGTTTAAGTGTTAACATTTCTCAGCAGCTCACACAGTGGGGAGCCTCTCTGTGAATAGCCACACAACTGGATGTGTTGGTGTGAAATGGGGACTAATTCAGTGAGTGGGAGGTTGTGCAAAATTTAAATGCTCAGGGGGAGTTTATGTGACAGTGGTTGTTGTAGTCATTCATTCCTGTCACATTGCAGGTCTTTATTATCTCTTTCTCTCTTTTTTTAAGGTAATGCCATTAATAATAATGTTTGTCCTGTATTACACTGAAAACTATACAGCAGCACATTATTTGATGTGATACCTCATCAATTTTATTCTTTGTTCAAATAAACACTCACTTTAATTTTGATGCCTGCAACATATTCCAAAAGAGTTGGGACTGTTCAGACTGTTCATTTCAGGGCCAGTAATGAGGTAAAACAATGAAATGATGGTTCCATGTGAACTGCAATCATAATTTGGTACAAAAGTGGCATCAAGGAAAGGCCGAGCCCTTTAGGAACAAAGATGGGCCGAGGACTGCCAGTTTGCCAACATACTGTATGTGTGAGAAAATTACTGAAATGTTTAAAAAACAATGTTCCTCAAAGAAAGATAGGAAGGGATTTGGATATGCCACCCTCTACGGTGCATAACATAATTAAAACATTCAAGGAATGTGGAGGGATTTCAGTGTGTGAAGGACAAGGGCACAAGCTTAAGCTGGATGACCGTGTTCTCCGATCCCTCAGACGGTACTGCATCAAGACTCATCACTCTTCTATAAGCGATATAACCACATGGGCTCAGGATTACTTTGGCACACCTGTATCAGGCACTACAATATGTAGTTACATCCATAAATGCTGCTTAAAACTGTACTGTGCCAAAAGGAAGCCCTATGTCAACAGTGTCCATAGGTGCAGTCGACTGCTCTGGGCTCAGAGGCATCTGGGATGGACCATCACAGCATCACAGAGTGGAAACGTGTACCGTGGTCAGACCAATCAATATTTCAGGTCTTTTTTGGAAGGAATGGACACTGTTTGCTCCAGAGCAAAGACAAAAAGGACCATTTAGACTGTTACCAGCAACAAGTCCAAAAGCCAGGGCCTGTCATGGTCTGGGGTTCGTGTCAGTGCCCTCGGCAAAGGTCACTTACACTTCTGTGATGGCACCATTACTGCTGAAACATAGAGAGATTTTAGAGCAACATATGCTGCCTTCAAGATGACATCTTTTCCGGGGACACCCATACATATTTCAACAAGACAATGCAAAACCTCATACTGCACATCACCAGGGCCTGGCTGTGGAGGGAAAGGGTGCGAGAGCTGGACTGGACATTTTGCAGTCCTGACCTGTTCCCAATAGAGAATGTGTGGCACATTTTGAAATGCAAATTACATCAACAAAGACCCAGGACTGCTGTGCACCTTAAGACTTGTTTGCAAGAGCAAAATGACACCTGACACATTTAATCACTTGGTGTTCTCAGTCCCTAAACATCTTAAGTGTTGTGAAAAGGAACAGCAACATTACACTGTGGTAAATGCTCTACTGTCCCACTTTTTTTTTTGGAATGTGTTGCCGGCATCAGGATTGAGGCAAGTGTTTATTTTGAATACAGAATAAAACTGAGGTATCACATCAAATAATGTGCTGTTCTATTGTTCATCTGTACAGGACACAGATGATTTACACATCACCATTTTCAGTGTTAATTTTGAGTTTACATACTATCCCAACTTCTTCTGATTTGGGGTTGTAATTCCCAAACCTGTTAATTTCAGTGCTAATATGTGATGACAGCTTCGAACCCAATTGTAATGTTCCACCATTTGCATTTTCACATTTTTTAGCACATTGATTTTAGCTGTTACTGATGTTTATACACCCTTCAGGATGAAAATGACAACCCCCCTGAATTCAGCACACCGTCCTATGTCATCAGAATCCCAGAGAACATTATTGCCGGTGAGTCACTTTATGAATTTGAGGGTACAGTCTGGTCTGCACCATTCAGCACCTTGTGTAGCATTTACAGTCACCTCTTACTTGAATTGCCTTTCTATTAGCATATTCAACAAATAGCTTCACTTTCTTGGGGGTGTGTTTTTTGTATTTTATTTGTTTCCTCTTGCCTCTGCTGCCTTATTTGTTTTGATTTTGCATAATGTTTTAAATGCTCAGTCATAATGTAGGATATTGACTATTCAAGGCAAATCACTGGCTGCTATATTCATTCTCATGCATGCATTCAAAAGACTTTTATCCCAGACAATAGATTAGTTTCCAGTCGCTAGAGGGAAATGAGATATTTGACGGCCTCTTTCTCTGTCTGAGCTCCTGCAGATGCTGGCCTTCTTTTGTCTCTCGGACCCTATTTGAAAGAGCATATAGCTCAGTGGCTTGGGCCAGGTCTGAGGTTTCAGGGGACTATGGCTAAAGTGCTTGGCCCAGAGCTGGGGGCTTCAAGGCTCAGCTCAGGGCTCACCCTGCGACTCTGGCTAGCCTGTCATCCTCTTGCCTGCCTGGGTATTGATTAAGCTTGTGCCAAGAATGGGTTGTGCCAAACAAGCTAATAAGCCACTAATCTATAAACTCACTCACTGCCATCAATTGAGCTGTGAATGGTGGCGATGAAGAAATTAGCTCTGTGAATGCCATTTCAGTCTGTCTCTACAGCTTGTCTCTCTGTCTTTTTCCCTTACTAGACTTCACATATTTTCTTCATGACTCTGTCCCTCTTTCCAGTTTTTTCCTTCTGTCTCCCGCTTTGTGAGTTGTAACTTTCTTTCTGTCTCACTCCATCTCCTCAGGGGCAACTGTGCTGCTTGTGAATGCTACTGATTTGGACGCCTCCCGGGAGTTTGGCCAGGCCTCACTCATCTACTCCCTGGAGGGCTCCTCTCAGTTTCGTCTCAACTCGCGCTCAGGTATATATGTGTGTGTGTGTGTTCTTGGAAAGTTATCTCTTAATTGAGAGGTTTTTTAAAATCTGATCTTTTCTTTTATTATTTAAAAAAAATTGATTTCCTGTCAGTTCATACTTGAACTGAAAATGACTATTAAGTACAGTATCTCTGCTTTTCTGTGTTTCCATTATTTTTTTTTTGTTTCCTCATTACTTTGCTTGCATGTACATTGTGGCTAAGCTTTCACTGTAACCCACATCGTTCAGTCTGGAGACTTTAAAGAGCTGACTATAAATCTGAGTGTATTCACTCTGACTTTTAATTCATCCTGACATGAAAAGCTGCTTTATAAGGTCATGTCTAGCGTACCATCACTTGGGTGTCATGTTGTTTTTGTTTTTTAATCTGATTCCTTTTGGGTTTCAGGAGAGATCACCACCACAGCTCTGCTGGACCGGGAGCAGAAATCAGAGTACATCTTGATAGTCAGAGCTGTAGATGGAGGGGTGGGCCCACAGCAGAAGACGGGCATCGCCACGGTAACAACTTTTTAGCCATCATTTTTTTGATTCTACTTATGAATCACAGAAATCAAACTACTCTTCTCTCTGCCCTTTAATCAAACATTTTTAGTTAAATAATATTCTGTTGTTTCACATGTATTCTATACTGACCTTTGACTTGAAAAACCATGATGGTCTAAGGTCTTTTATGTAAGGGATATTATTTTTATATTCTATATATAGTTTAATTAACAGGTGCAATGCACAATAATAAACAGGCTCAAAGGCTATTTTTCACCTGTAGTCCCTGGACAGATGTTATAAAGTCACACCTAAAAACAAAACATGAAACATGAGAATAAAAAAAAGGTTAAAAAACATTTAGATCATGAATAAGCACAGGGAAAATTAAGAAAAGATTAACATTGCTATAAATCATCATATAAAACAATATTAAGCTACAGTTTTCAATTTTTAGCCAAAGTACATAATCCATACAACATATAAGAAGAAAATGAAAATATACAAAACAAAAGCACAAACATAGAACCCAGAACTCTGGCACAATAGAAATAAGACCGACTGGCAATGACAAGATAACAACAAGTAACAAACAGCACAGATCGAGGACAGCAAGGTGTGATTGACGTTAAATGCTGACAGTGCTTAGTGCTAATTAATCATTGCTTTAAATAAACTAAATAAACTTTATAATAGGTAATTCACCTTTGTTCTTCTCATGCCCACTTTTTTTTAGGTAAACATTACCATCCTTGACATCAACGACAACGCCCCTGTGTGGAGAGATGAGCCGTACTATGCCAACGTAGTGGAGATGAGCCCAGTAAACACTGATGTTATTTCTGTGAGTGCTCCTAGCCTACCTTGGTGAACTCATTGATTAGATGATTGTTAACTAAATGATGTGACGTGAACAACACTGGAATAACAATACTAACGTGTTGTTTATTTTAAGAAGGAGCATATTTGAAGCATTAGGAATCAGCTTATTGGAATGTTGGCTTCATGTATGCAAATGTGATAGAGACAGAACACAAGTATCCTTGAGTGATGTTTTCTGTTTTAAATATTTATTTTAGTCTCTTATTTCATTTGATTACTTTGCAAACTTGAGTTTAAAAAAACTATTTTCAATGTAAGATCATTAATAGCATAGTGTTTATGAAAATAGTGCATGTTTCTTCTTCACTGCTGCCACTGTGCAGATCATCACAAAGTAAACACTAATATTGTCCCAAACTCTCTCTCTCCTGATGGTGTCTTTGGTGATGTGTTGTTGTTAATTAAGCTCTGATTGTCCATTAATTAACGAGGCGACAGTGAGTGTAATTAAGAAAGTCCGATTGCTAATTAAAACGTTGCCTGCAGTCATATGCATAGCAAATTATTCAGCTGCTAGGCAGAGAAGGAAGCGTGAACTCATCTTGCAGAGCAAGAGAGTATACTGGAGAAATGGTGAGGAAAGAGAAATGAAAGATGCAAGTGAAAATGTTGCTACATTTTCCCTTGTTCCTGTTCTCATGTAGCTGTTCCTCAGCTGAGATCTTTCATGACTCATCCAGCAATGCGACGCATACTCCATGGGACTCTCTGAGCTCACTGGGCCAGACACTGTTGCCCCTCTGACCATTTTACAGTAAATCGGACCACCCGGGCTTACAGTCCTATAATTGGCCCCAGTGCAGCCCTGGGCCAGCCAGTGTTTCCATGGTGACAAAAGGCCATCTGCTGAGTCCTCATGGAGGTGTCCACCAAGCCGATGAATTTGGTAGCTGTGCCCAGTGTAAGGATCAGCCCACTCAAACCTCAGAGCACCACATCATCACTACCGCAGCCTTACACAGCAAGCCTCCTTGTATCTTATTTCAAAACGGTCTTCTCTGTTCTGTCACTCCAGGGCTACAGGTCAATAGAAAAGCTAATATATTTACTTCCCATTTTTAATGTCCTCTGCTCAGGCCAGAATTGATTAGTTCAACTGGCACTGGCCAGACACTTCCTCCTATTTCCTATCACCTTATATCTACCGTTGTCTCTGCAGTTGCTAATCAATGGGCCTCTGAAATGACTGCCTACCATGTTCCCTTAATAATTAAATACCTGCAAAACCTTTGTTCCTATAATGACCAATTAACTAGTTTCCTGCATTTTTAGTCAGGGCACTGAATAATTGATCAGCTCTTTAAAAATCAACCAGTGTTTTATTCGGGCTCCCGGCTCCTTACATTCATCACCGCTCTCCACTTTGTACCATTTTTCTTTTAGCTGATTGATGTGTTAGAGCAGTTGGAAGGGGCTGCATGTGTGAGGATTCTCTGGTAGTGAGGTGGAGGTGTGCTTATGCTATTACCATTACCATCATTATTACATTTTTTGTTGCTTTTTCCTGTTCTGATTAATTTCCTCGTTCTTCCCCTCCTTTCTCCACTTCTGTCTTAAATCCTTCTTGTTCCCGTATCTTTGAGTTCTTCTTGTTAATTCATTTTTATTAAGCCACGCACTAGAGGATCATTATATCTTGCATCTTCTCTGTCCAGGTGTTGGCAGTGGACCCTGACAATGGGGAAAATGGGACAGTGGTGTACAGTATCAGTCCCGAAAACCCCTTCTACACCATCAATTCCAATACAGGGAAGATTCGTACCAGTGGTGCAACCCTAGACAGGGAAAGCTCCAACCCCAGGGACACAGTACTCATGAGAACCATTGTCATCTCAGCTGTGGACCGTAAGTAGTGCATTATGTGTGTTGTAGGATGTCCATTTCAGTTTGCATTTCTGTTTGCCTTTCATGGTATAAATTTATCTGAGTCATGAAACACCTGAACAATCTGTAAGCAAGCGTAAATTGCTTTATATCATCCTTATTAGAGAGATTTCAATTCTGAATGATTAGCCTCTTTCTCCAAGCCTCATTCCTCAAGTTTTATGTTGACCATGAACTTTTTACTGTGGCTAATAAACTCTTTATATCTAGAGATATCGCGTGTGTGTATGTGTGTATACACGTGTCTTTATATGTTCCTCTGGTGCCCTCTTTAGGTGGTGTTCCTCCACTGCGTGCATCAGTAAGCACCACAGTATTTGTCAACCTGCTGGATCTCAATGACAACGATCCAACCTTCCTCAACCTGCCCTTTGTGGCTGAAGTGCCAGAAGGGCTGCCTATTGGATCCTCTGTTTTTAGGGTAAAATATAAGACTGCACTAATGAATTACATTTAAAAAGGATAGGATTCAGAATGCTTAAAATCTTCCTTTTAAGATTTTAGAGGTGCAAATTCTCCAGACAGTTTCGGCATTGCAAAGTCACAGTATGCCATATTATTTCATGAAGAATATTCCAGGGAGGTTTATATTGACTAGATGTTTAGTATTGAAGTTGAACAATAATTGATTAGACTTTATATTGTCATTTAGTCACCATGATAAATTCTATATGTTTCACCAAACAGTTTTATGGGAGTATGGTCACAAATAACTTTCTAAATCAATGTTTTTGATATATGACCTCCAGATTCATTCCTAACAATGTTGCATGATCATTGCTGGCCAATTAAAGTAAACCTTTAACTTGTCACACCTCTATTTTCACTGTATGCTGTACTTTACCATTGCACTAACCTCCCATGATCTTTTTCTCTCCTTTCCTCCTCCAGGTCCAAGTGGAGGATCCAGATGAGGATAAGAATGGATTGATTACGATGGCATTACAGATGGGTATGCCTCGCCTTGACTTCTACCTGAACAACATCACTGGCATTCTTACCTCCACAGCAGTTCTGGACCGTGAGCAGATTGGGCAGTATTTTTTGAGGATCATAGCCTATGATGCAGGAAAGTTCCCTCGCACCTCCACCTCAACCCTCACTATCACCGGTGAGAGTCTGTGCCTGATGATGATGGGAAACTGGGTTTGATTTCCTCTTCCTCTTTCTGAAATTGTCCTGTATAAGATACTGCCAAGCCAAGGTGTGATTGGGTTCTGAGTGGCCTGAGGACTTACTTCATTATAGTAGAGTTAATCACTGGCTTCTCAGAAATCTGTTGAGAACAATACTACCACCTGCTGGTGGGTCACAAAAAATCCTAAGTGTTGTCAAAAGGGTCTGACTGTTATGATCATGATTTTTTTTAAAGGAAAACTGGATAAGGTTTTCTGGCATTTCACAAATAGATCTGGTGAGTCTGGAGCATCAAAAATTTTGGACCTGTTGTGTAGACGTTGGTTTCACATGAGTCAGAAACAATCATCACAAGGACCCATGTTTTGCCAGGCCCCAAATCCTCTGATTTGATAATAGCCTTTCTACTCACTGCACCACTGCCTTATTTGTCCTCATGTACATCTATCTGTGTGTCCTCATGTCTTTCTGTCTGTATGTTTGTGTGCGTGTGTCAGTGCTGGATGTAAATGATGAGACGCCCACCTTCAACCCTCGCGTGTACAATGTTTCCCTGAAGGAGAATGTCCCTAGAAACTACATTGTAGCAAGCCTCAGCTGCACTGACAACGACGCTGGTCTCAACGCCGAACTTAGCTACTTCATCACAGGTCAGAGGTCACAGTGGGACGTGTTTTTTGTGTGTCTGTGGGCTACAGTGTTGTACAGTTATGAGGACTACATGTTCCAGTTCACGTTGCACGTTTAGTACTGTCCATTTATCCATCTTTCTGTGAATTTGTATCAGGTGCTCTCCTCTTGCATGCTTCCTTCAGTATTATAGCTGTACTATTTATAAAGTGGCAAGAAAAAGTGAATTACATGTATTAATGTATAAACATGTCTTAAAATATGGTCAGATCTTCAACTAAGTTACAGTTATGAGCAAACATAATTTTAACTAATAACACACAAATCATTGTCTTGATCTTGCCCATACTGAATAAATCATTTCACCTTTAACAGTGTAGGTTAGAAACAGTACGCAAACCCTTCGGCTAATGACAGGAGATAGCAAACCTTGAGTTCAGTCCAGTCAGTGAAATCAGGTTGGATGTGTGTGTTAGAGCTACTCTGACTAAAAAAACACTCACTATAATAACACGTGTTATTTAGTGGAAGCATCTGTTCACTTGAACTATGCAAAAGAAAGATCTCAGAAGATTCATAATGAAGAACTGTTGATTTGCATGAAGCTGGAATGATCAGGACACCACAGAGGAAGCCACTACGCTCCAAAAAACATCACTGAAGTTTGCCAAAAGAGCACCACGGAACTCCACAGCACTAAAGGGAAGAACATATAGCACTGCATCAGGTGCAACAAGGACACTTCATAGCAACATGAAAACATCATCCCAGAGGTGGAGCACACACCTCAGTTCAGTAAACATTCTGCTGAATGAGCTCAGAGCTGTTCACACCAGACACCCCAAGAACATGTCTGAGCTGAAGCAGTTCTGTAACAAGACTGGTCCAAACTTCCTCCTGGACAGTGTGCAGGTCTGATCCAAAGCTCCTGGAAACACCTGTTTGAAGTTATTACTGTCAAAGGAGCATCAGCTAAATCCAAGAGTTCATTCTTTTTCTGCAACACTGTGAATGTTTAATAGGTGTGCTCCATAAAGATGTTAAAGATAATGGTTTGTGTGTTATTAGTTTAAGCACACTGTGACTGAAATGAAGATGGGTTCACATTTTTACTGCAAAAAATAAACGGGTCATTCCACAGGTTTCAAGTACTTTTTCTTACCACTGTACGTGAATGGGTATATGTTACTGATATGTTGTTAATTCATTATGAAATGTGCTTGTGTTTTTTTAGGTGGTAATCAAGATGGTAAATTTAGTGTGGGCTTCAGAGATGGAGTTGTTCGGACGGTAGTCAGCCTGGACAGAGAGACCCTAGATGCATACACTCTGGTCATTGAAGCTATAGGTGTGTGATGGATTCATATCTCTTTACAGGGATAAAAATAACTTGTCCATCTTTTATCATCCTCATTTTTACATAGTGTTTGTATTTGTTGTAATAGACCTTCTTTTCTTACTTGTTTTGTCAGCTTCAAAGCTACGTCTTCCTTCTTGTGTGTGACAATGAAAAAAAAAGTGATGCCTGCACATCTGCAGTGATTTCAGACTGTTGCTCAACTGCCTTTGTTCCTGTTTGAAAAGAAAAGACAAAATGTCTGAGGTTTTCCTGTTTTGGACTCCACTGAGTCATGGCTTATCTGCTAAGGCGGCCAGAAACACAAGAGACGGGAAGAGAGGCAGAGATAATGTAAAACAATGTCAAGGAACAGAATTACACATGTTGTCCTAATTCACAGGCAGCTGACCCAAATTTTGATAAGACAACAATGTTTCAGTCTTACTTCTTTATAACAAACTATTTTTGGTTTCTGCTCTATTTTCTGAAGATGAATTGACCTTTAATGTAACATATTAATATAGAATATTATTACTATATACTGTATATAAAACTGTATTCTGTAATGCTTCAGATCTTTAACTCATCATTTTGGCTATAGCTTGCGGTACAGCCATGAAACGAAAGCCTCATCTGTTTTAGTTCTCCAAGTGTCAGCCCTAAAATTGGCATTAACCTGAATGATTCCGACTGATGTGTTTGTGAATGTGTTTGTTTCTGCACATAGACAACGGTCCAGCAGGTAGCCGCAGGACAGGCACAGCCACTGTGTATGTTGAGGTGCAGGATGTTAATGACAACAGACCCATCTTCCTCCAGAACAGCTATGAGACCAGCGTACTGGAGAGTGTGCCCCAAGGAACCAGCATCCTTCAGGTAGAATACACACACTGCTAATCACATCTGGAAACATACTGCACTTTCAGCAGTCAAACAATAAAACCACTTTATTTCTGAAAATCATAAAGCGCAAAGAATCTGTTACAAAATGTTGTCTTTTTTGGCTCAGATTGTATTTGTCTTGTCAGCGCTGGTAAACCATGGTGTTTTGAAACATGCATGGATTTGGTGTTTGTCTTAATTGACCTGAATTGGCTGGATAGAGTTTACAGCACCAGAACAATTAACATATAAAGATTTAGCTGAATTGCTGCTGTTCAAGAGGACTGTAATTGGCATTAAATAATGTTTACCTCAAGTGAAAATATACTGAGCTGTGCTGTAAAAGTTCATGTCCTATAATGTCACCTGCTGTACAAGGTAAAATGATCAGTCACAAAAATGTGTGAACCCTGCCACAGTGGCTTTTTGATTGCCTAAATTTTAAGCACGTATATTGTTGTTAAGCTCATCTCATCTAATATTCAAAGTATGTTAAAACAGATGCTAAAAATAGTTTTTCATGTACTTTTAGTGAAGAGTACATGAAAAACACCTGGTATTAGTGATGTTTGCAGCTTTAAAAATATAAAATATGCAGTGTATCACTTGTTTTGGGCAGCAGTTAGGCAGCTCAGCATGTCCTCAAGTCAGATTTCAGTGACATAGTCAAACAGACACGGTGTGGTGAGGTGGGACTCTGTGCTGGCTTCTGGCTGGGGTGCCTGTCGGGCTGGAGACTGAGGCGCATGTCGGCTCCCATGCTCGTGTGGCCTGCGATGGGGCGGTCGTCTGAAGGAGAGGTTGTATGAACGCCGGTATGACCCCAGCCTCCTCCACTTCTTGAGCTGAGGCTCACTGTTCCGGCTCCTTCTACGGGTCAAGCCCTCCCCTGGGCCACGGCTTGCCTCAGAGTTCCCATCCTGTTCAGATGGCCGGCACAGTGCCAGGAATGCTGCTAACCCTGCCAGCAGCAGCGATAAGCCCAGCACCACAGCAATGGTGAATTCTGGGTCGTGGATGACTGAAGAATAGGATGGAGGCTGTCGATTGGTGCGAGAGCTGGTGGTGCTTAATAGGCTGGACAGAGTGGTGTTTCCTATGTTAGAGGTAAAGGTGAAATTGGAGCCTGGCTCAGTGGTGGTGTTCATGTTATCTTGTCCCTGAATGGAGAAAACAACATTAAACAGGAGGTCTACATCAGGATGATCAGAGTGTGTGTGTGTATTTGTTTGCTAGTATATGTGGCTATGCTTGAAAGTGCATGTGTGTGGTCAGAGACACTCTCTAGGTTGTGTTTTACCTCACTAGCCAAGCCTAACTACGCTGGGTTTATGTGGCTGCTCACTTTCACTTCACTGGGATCATACACATGCACAGAAGGACCTGTATGCACATGCAGATGTGGTAGAGTGTTTGGCATTTGTGGCAATTAAGTACCTATTAAATCAAAGACTACAAAACAGTCAGTGCTTGACAGGCTTTCTTCAATGTAAAACAAATTAGGTTTATTAAAATGCCCCTGGTAAATTGCAAGGCACCCACCTCTTCTTCCCTGGTCTCTAATTATCCCCCCCCCCCTCTCATTCTGTGTGCCCCCATCTTCAGCATAGTAACATTTGTAAATGTCATCGTCCTTAATTCAGCGGAGACAAAGCATGGCTTATCGGTTTAAGGGAAACACATTGGGACGTGAAATTATTTTTAAGACCAAATGCCAGCAAAGCTGTGAAAAGGCCAGTGAGGCAGGATGGCTCGTTAGGGAGTCAGTTCATTAGTCAGCGCCTCTGAGCACATACACCGCACGCACAATCTCACACCCACACAACTATTCAAACACAAACTTTTTTTCCTCACCCACTGTAGGCTGTACCGCACATTTTCATGATTAGACACACTGCTCTTAAGCTTGGTAGCTTAGCTGTAAAGTATTCTCCCTCTCTATCGCCCCACACTGTTGCTTCTTCAGATCAGACTGCTCTGCTCCTTTTGAAACAATGAACTCATCTCTTACTGTGTTTACAAACTTAGTCTAACCTATTTATACTTGCAATGTCTGACAAAATGTGCACTTTCAGGTTCACCAGTAACTTCTTAGCAGCATACTTGCAAATGCTTATTAGATTTATGTATTTTATTTATTTATTTATTTACCTGTTATTGACTTTTGATTGGTCTCTGATTTATGGTGTTTGTAACCAGAGATTCTCTGAATTATGTACATAGTGGAAGAAACAAAGATGACTCAGTAATACAGTAGCAGATCATAGATGTCACATGTGCAGTCTCTGCTTGCTGATGTGTTAATTCATGTTCCTGATAAGTCCTAATCGCAGTAAGGCAAATGCATACAACAGTCTTCATGTACTCCCTTAGGCAGGGTAAAGTTAATCAAGCACATGTCAAGCAGCTCACATTCTGAAAGGTGGATAAAATAAGAGACCTTGATGAGATGGTTGGCGATCATACTACCTTAACATTTGAAATAATTTAATTATGTTTACATGTAAATTGTAAGCAATTAACATTGTTCTTCTTTAGTAATATGGAATAAAACTCTTCAAAAATATATACTCACACCCACACTTTAGAGACTCTTTAAACAACGCCTTGCTTAGTCCCAGTAACTGAGGTCAGACCTGTTTCTTGGCTCCACACACTTGTTTTTTCCCCCCTAAAACTGCTGCTTTCCCAGAGACAGAGGGGTAAATGCAGGGGAGGAAGAGGGAACGAGGAAGAAGAGGGGCACCAGCATCACAGTTTAAATACCTCAGTATTGTTTTAATCCCAGGGAGCCAAAGACAATAGTGTGTTTTCTGAGGCCTGCAGAGGCTTAGTGAATAATCTCTTATGCACACACCCCGCATGCTTACACTTGAAACATCTGGCTGTGCAATGTAGTCTTACACTTTTTACACCCCCTTTTATGGCCTAAGTGGTGCAGTCCGCTGTGTAACACCCTATTCATCACTCACCAATCTGACCCCCCAGCCTTTTTCCCTCCTGTCTTCCCCTCCCCTCTCCTCCTTTCTCCACATCTCTTTATGAAGCTAATGAGAGTGAAGTTGGGCCCCTGTTCACAGAGGGAGTGAGAGGGAGCACAGGAGGACACAGGGCAAGAGAAAGAGACTAGGAGAGTGAGTCTGTCTGTATTTGGGTGTACCTGAGTGTACATACATGCACTCAAGTGTCTTGAATGTGTGTTTCTGTATGCAATTGAATATGCACTTTGTGGGCACCTGCACAAACTTTGACTCCTCTGCAGAGGAGCACGGTGTCACATAAAGACATACTCATCCAGTGCCAACAGCTCTGTGCCGCTCTGGACTCAGAAGTCAGTCTTACGACGTGGCCCATTCACCAACAGTGTGGCGTTCTCCGTTGTGTTTCTGTGTAGGCTGTGGAGTCGTGCTGTCTGCTGGATTTGAGTGTTTGGCTGCTTCTGGCTTTCTGCCTGTAAGAGAGAGTGAGTTTCTCTGTGCCAAGCCATGATGGGGTTGTTGTGGCAACGAGACACAGGGCAACAGTGGATGTGTGGCGAATGAGAAAGTATACAGATTTTTCCATTTGTTTGTAGTAACCACTGAAAATGTTGTATGAAATGTCTATCATGTAACTATACAGGATAAAACAGAGTGGTAAACATAGAATTAACAGACTCAGCGGTAACCAAATCCAACTGTTCAAGGCTCTCGTAATGCTATTGTAGCTATACAAGCTGTTGAATATTTTGCCACCACCGTTGTAAAACTGCAAGAAAAGACAACAGTCATAACTTTGTAACAATACCAGTTCTAATGAGAGGTTAATATCATTGCAGTCACCCTTGTACCTTGCTTGATGGTTTGCCCATGTGTATCATTGTGGTTGTGTCCCTGTGATGTTATTTTATGTAAGTATAAAGTTTCTGTTTGTGTGTGCCTGTACAGGTTCAAGCTACAGATGCAGACCAGGGGGAGAATGGTCGAGTTCTGTACAGGATCCTCACTGGTAAAGCCTATTGTCCTTCGATTTTCCTCCCAGATAGCTTTTGTACATGGTTTTCCTGCTCACAAACAAATCAATTGATAGAATGGGCTTTGAAGATGCACTATATTGAATCATTAATTTTATGGTGGTAGCATTGTCACTCCAGTTGTTCAAAATGGGTGCACAAAGGCTCTTCAAAAAAATGTTTACACATGTTTTAGTGACTCAAGCATTGTGGAAAAATTCTGCTGGTGCACTGTTATTATAGTTCCTCTTGTCAGTGCAGTTTGTCTTGTCTAGAAATAGTCAGCCTGTATGAGGCAGATTGTACCACTGTTAAAATGGCAGCAATGACAGGTCCTTTACACCAATTAATTTGCATTGATAACAACTGAAATTTTCACCCTCTTGGCAGGTTCTTACAGTGAAATTATCTAAATGCAGAGACTAAATTAAATGTTTTACTAAAATGTGCATTTTTTTGGAAATCTCTCCCTGTCTCATTCTCTCACTGTCTCTGTCTGTGTGTTTGTGTTGGTGAATGCATGCATGCATGCAGGGAACAGTAACAATCTGTTTAGCATAGACAGACAGACGGGGCTAGTGACAAGAGGCCCCAGGGCTCTAGACCGAGAGACCAGCAGCTCTCATGTGCTGGAAGTGGAGGCCTACAACAGTGACGAGGGCAGCATGAGGAGCTCTGTGAGGGTGAGAAGCACATCTGGAGCTTTAGTCATGTGGAATGGAGATGCTATACTATGTGCAAGTTTCACCCCATGCCTCATGCTAAATGCACAGCACACCTTATATAGAAATGGTTTGTTTTTGTTGCTATAGACCATAAAGATTTATAAATTTAAAAAGAAACCATGGTCATATCTTGTGATGCATTTTTAAT